TTGGCATCCTCATGGGCCTGGGCTAAAGGTATGTCTATTCAGGACATTTGCTTAGCGGTGGGCTGGTCATCTCACAGCACTTTTGCGAAATTTTATAACTTGGATATTCCCTCGTTTGCACCACACATTCTGTCAGTGCAGGAGGAGAAGGCTGAGCAGCCATTGGACGACTGAGTCGCCTGAGGACACGCCCCAGCCTTGCGCGTGCTTCAGCCCATGGTTTCAACTAGGTCGTCTAGGCGAGACGGTTTAGCATCATTTTAATTCAGCATCAAGTTTATTCTCTTGCGTCCGTAAAGTCATTTACTAAGTGAAACAAGCACACATCCAGAAGTGTCCCCATTTATCTATGCCCGCTTATTCAGGCCGGCAGTGTTTTCAAGCACCAACATGTTTTGCTGCCTTATTTCCACCCCCATATCACACCAGTTCAATGCTGCTTGACTGTGTGCAGGGAGGCGCTGGCGCCGTGTTGGCTCACTGCCAAAAACTGCATCTGAGTGTTCAACCAGGTCCGATACCCGACCTAGAGGGGGAGGGGCGAGCGCGCTGAATTGTCTTGCTACTGCCTCAGCGCCTAGCCCTCTGCATCGGCTAGGTGCGAGTTTGGAGGCACAATTTTTCATACGGCGGGGTTTTATACGTTCCCCATACGTAATGTCGAGAAATCGACTCGATAAGGGAATGTCTCCGGTTACTCGTGTAACCTTAGTTCCCTGAGAGGAGGGAACGAGACATTACGTAGATGGCCGTGTGAAGAAAAAAAAAAAACCTCCTTACAGCTTCAATAGCTCTCGCTCAGTCGAAAGATTCTGAGGTATTCTGGCGCCCGACATCGCTTATATAGTGGCTGTGCCAGCCAATCAGGCGAATGCTCAGACGCCATTGGTTATTGCAAAGCAATAGAGTGATTCTATCAGGCTTCAGCATTTAGAGGAAAAGGGTTTCCCCATACGTAATGTCTGGTTCACTCCTCTCAGGGAACTAAGGTTACACGAGTAACCGGAGACGTTTTTGTGTGCGCGCTCTGGTTTCGAATTACAAAAGTTTCTATTTACAACATGTTTTGCAGTGTTGAGTATTGTAACCAATCACAGGCATCTCTTCATTCACAGTTTGAAGAAAAGTTTAAGAGGACCAAACGGTCCACGTATACTGTTTCAGGAATGACAAACGCGAGTGTAAAAAATTACGCGAGTGAATCTGCCAAATTGATCCGCGATTGACGGTGATAAGATATCGCTGCTATGCTGATGACACTCAACTCTACCTCTCATTCCATCCTGATGATCCGATGATAGCTGCTCGCATCTCAGCATGTCTAACGCGTTCTGCAAGTGAACGGCGTATTATTGTGCCATCTCAAAGAGGCACAAAATCACTTTCACAGACTTTTTCATTAACTGTTCCCTCCTGGTGGAATGACCTGCCCAACTCAGTCCGAGCAGCTGAATCCTTAGCCATCGTCAAGAATCGACTAAAAACACATCAGTTCCACCTTTATTTGACCTTCTAACTCTAGCACTTTCTATTCTATTTTAATTCTACTTTATCTATATTTATCT